CATAACTCACACTTCTATATTCATTCATTTATTACTCTTTTCTAAGGAAAACTCCAAAACCCCATTTTCTCTTTCATTTATCTCTATCCTTTTCTTCCTCCTCTTATCTGTTCATCAAATCTCTCTTTCTTTTATTATTATTATTGTTGTTATTATAATATATTTGATTTTGCCCATACCTACAATCCAATCATCTACACTACTACACCCACAACTATCTTATTCATCTTCATTATCATATTATAAAGAAAGTATAATTTTAATTTCTTTTTTATCAAATGAAAAGAGAGTATGTACTAGAAGAAAAAAATAAAAATAAAGATCATTCTAGTAACACAAACACTATGTTTGGTAAACTTCATCATCACCAAAATCAATCTCCTCAACATTTTCAACACCATCACCAACAACAACAACAGCAGCACCTTCAGCAGCACCAGCACCAGCATCAGCAGCATAATTTTCACCATCCAGCTTTTCAACTAACACGCGAATGCCAAACTTCAGAGGAAGCAGACAGTACTACTCATCGAATGAGTCCTACAAACAGAAACGATACTTTAAACCCTCAACCGGTTAATGCAGTAGCACCGCCGCCGCCGCCGCAGCAGCCACCTTCCTCCGCCGGTAACGACGGTGCTACGATTGAAGTTGTTCGCCGTCCCCGCGGCCGTCCGCCTGGTTCGAAAAACAAACCTAAACCACCTGTTATAATTACTCGTGATGCTGAGCCATCTATGAGTCCTTATATACTTGAAATTCCAACTGGAGTTGATATAATCAACTCTATTACCAAGTTCTGTAGAAAACGGAATATGGGTCTTTGTGTTCTTAACGGTTCAGGTAATTCATAATCGGAATCTGAATCTGAATAATTAATTTCTCAATTGACACAAGATTGTTTAATGTAACATTTTTTATTTTATTTTAAAGGTACTGTAACGAATGTTACTCTCCGGCAACCGTCAACTACACCGGTTTCGACTGTTACCTTTCATGGCAGATTCGATATACTGTCAATTTCAGCAACAGTTGTTCAACCAAATGCGAGTGTTCCATCGAACAATGGGATAGCAAATGGGTTCACAATTTCATTAGCAGGTCCACAAGGTCAAGTTGTGGGCGGTGGCGTAATCGGACCTCTTGTTACCGCCGGGACGGTTTACTTAATCGCTGCAACTTTTAACGGTCCGTCTTATCATCAGTTACCGGCGGAGGAGGAATTAGCAAGGAATAATTCTGGTGGTGGAAATGAAGACGGGTCGCCGCCGCCGCATGCGGAGGTTTCCGGTGGAGGAGATAGTGGACATCCACCGTCAACGACGGCGCCGGAAACTTGTGGGATGTCGATATACAGCTGTCATTTACCGTCGGATGTGATATGGGCACCTACTGCTAGACAACCACAACCACCACCTCCACCACCTTACTAAAATTCTTGGAATCTGTGCTCTCTTATGCTGTCAAATTTTCTTCACTAATCTGGGTTTTGTATTTTGGGATTAATATTTTTTTTCTTGTTTTTTGTTTAGTTTATTTAGTTGACTTTAGTTTATTTTTGTATCTTTTATGTTAATTAAAAAAATGTACTGTGGATTAGTCCTTTTTTTATTTGTTGTTTATCTTTGGTTGGGAAAGAGGAGAATATTTTGGTACTAATTGAAGTAGTATTTTAGTTAGCCATTAGATATTTTATTGATCACTCAAAACATTATTTTATTATATTTGTATCTTCGCGAAGGTGAAAGAGACTGTTTTCGAAAGATTCTTGACTCGAGTGTTGGGTTGAACAAAGAGACCTTAAACTATGGATTTGGGTAAAAAACCAGAGTGCAAAAATTTCGAAAGACCAAATATAAGTGTTTTCAAAAGAAGGAAAAAGGTGTTATTTTTTTCCATTAAGAACCAGTTTTTCTACATCTTAGTTGCATTTTGGTCAATTGAAAATGATAACCAAAAATTTCACTTGGTGTTCGGACCTTGTATTGAAGTTTTTATTAAATTTAAATCACATATTGTAAAATCTAATTGGGAGTGGTTCTTCATGCTTAGGGTTCGAATATGAAGTCTCCTATTAAAAATAAAATTGTTTCATCATTGTACAACATAATTGTATGAACTCAAAATTTTTGACTAAGATTGTAACAGTTTCATCACTGTACAACATGACCGTAGAACCCATTCGAGAGTGACTCTTCATAATCAAGACTCAAACTCAAAACTTATACTCTCTCTGTCTCAATTTATGCGACTTATTTTCTTTTTTAGTCAAATCCAAAAAAGAATAATACATTTCTATATTAAGTAATAATTTAACTATAAAATGTCTATATTATTGTTGATGAAATAATTTACAATCACACAAATTCCTATAATTCATTTTGAATCACAAGTTTTAAAAGTCTTTCTTTCTTTCTTAAACTCCATGCCGAGTCAAACTATCTCACACAAAATAAGATGGACGGAGTAATTAAGACTTAAGAGTGAAAGCAGTCCGACCAATACACCACAACGTTAAAAATGGCAAGTTGCAAAAGAAAGAATGTAAAGTGGGAGCAAGTTGGCATGGGGGAGTTTAGCTTTGAAGTTTGGGTCATATCTGTCTGCAGTGAATCTGACAAATGATGACGAAGGTGGGATGAGATTTTTCTTCTTTCTTTCATTCTGGCAATTTGCTTTACAGTTTTCTGCAAAAATGCCAGAATTAAAGAAGGGAAGGATGATGGACTTTTCCCAATTCAGTCTGAATGTATGTGTGGTTTTTATAGCTAATCTAGTTTTGGTTATTTGGGTTTTTGTGGTTGAGATAAATATGAAAAAGACATTACTTTCTTATAACATGTGGATGGGGTAATCCCACAGTAATGTGTTTTTTTTCTTTTTAGTAAGAGAATTGGCATTGTTAGAGAGTGGGGTTGGGAATGAATTATGTGGCTTGATTCTTTGAATGTGAACACTTTTTTCAAAGGCTTTTGTTCATTAATTTCATCAAGACATTAGGATTATGGTCTATTTCTATTGAGCATTTATGGACATTTGGTAGAGTATATTAAAATATTCTACGTCCGTTCAATTTTAATTGTCATGATTTTTTTTAAGAGTCAAACTATAAGAACTTTGACTAATATTTTTATGATATATTTTTTCATCATATTGATATGCAAAAAAATGCAATTTATAGTACTTTTTCGTATGGTTTTTGAATATCTAAATATTTTGTTTAAATATCGAATTAATGTAATTTAATTTAACTTTAAAAATTAGTCAAATTGACTTTCGAAAAACGTAATATGACAATTAAAAATGAATAGAGGGAGTATAGTAGATGTATTAATTTTGTATACTTTTGCTTTTTCTTAAAATTGGTGGTGGAGAAGGGAAAATGATGAATTACAATATGATATGATGAAATAAAAGACTGTTATTAAATTTCATTAAGACACTAGGATGATGGCTTATTTTGATTGAATCGGAGAGGTTTGATAGAGTGTATAAAAAATTATAGTAATATTATATGTATTAATTTTGTATATGACGAGAGGGAGTTGCTCGGATGGTAAGCACCTCTCATTTTCAACTCGAAGGTTGCGAGTTCGAGTCACCAAGGGAGCAAAAAGGGTGGGAGCTCCTAGGGATGGTAAAAAAAAGTATTAATTTTGTATATTATTAATATTTTACTTGATATTTTTCTTTAACTTATATATAACTAATTTGATATTAGTTATATACTCTATCGGATATTATGCTTATGTATAACGAATATATGAAAGTTTATAATATTAGTAATGTGAGGAATATACATGCACTAGCATAGTAAACTAAATAATTTTCTCATAAATTATTTTTCATCGTATTTGTAGAAGGTATTTTATAAATAAATATATTTTAAAAAGAAATTATGTAATGCATGTTATCTTTAATATGCTAAATTAAACATTGCATAATTTCACACATAACTAATATTAGTAATACTAATAAATCTTATTTAACACTATTCTTACATATCATATCATACGACTTTTAAAAATAATAAATTCTATTTAAAAAGTAGGATTTAAATATGATTATGACATATATATGTTTGTATTTTGTGAATCAAAAACAATAGTTAGACGATTTTATTGTCTTGAGAAAAAACAAAGTACTCATTTAAATAAGATAAAAATAAATATAAAAAATTTAACAAAGTAATAAGATATCACATGAGTTGATCAGTGACAATTCAAAAAAATTATAATTTAGGAACAAAATTTTGGTGTCTTGTTTAGTCGCCCTGTTTGGAATAACTTATCTCACCATTTATATCATAGTTACGAAATAAGTTATCCCAAAATAGCTAATTTCAAAATAACTAATTTTGAGATAACTTTTTTCCGACTAGACACCCCTAGAGATTATCTATGTATAATAAGTCCTTTCTTTGTTTTTTCTTATAGCATCAATTATTTGATACTTGGTTCAATTAATTCAAATCTCTACAAAATCAGATCAAAACTTTCTTTCAAATTCTCAATTGAAGACTTTTTTAATTTTATGTTTGTCATGACTCAGAAAATAGTACTTTGGTTTGTCTTTTTTTTCTCTTTGGGGATTCTTATCCCTTTTTCTTTCATTGAAATGACAAAAAGGAAGAGACGAGAAAATAAAATTAAAGATATGTGATGATGATGGCTTTTTCTTCAAGTTTTTGCCTCTTTCCATATTTGGTCCAATTGGGTTTTGTTGTTTTCTTTACACTTCTTACTATTTTTTCTTAGACAATTTTTGCATTGTAATGTGTATGTAAGGTTGAGATGTGGACACTTTACACTCCATTTAGGTTCTTTCTAGCTGTAACTTAACATGTTAAAATTTTATTTTAATTTTAAAAGTTATAATTTGTAATTTTATTATAAGAAATTGATAAACATATCCTTTTATAATTTGATATAAGAAAACAAAACCTATAAAGATTTTTCGTGCGTTATTCCAAAAATAATAATAAAATTTCGTAAAAAGGATACAAAACTAAAAATAAAGTTGTAAAATCACAAAAGGATTAGATTTCATTAGTACTATACTTTTTATTTATTTATTTCCCACTGCGTGTATGGTACCAGATTCACACCAGAAAGTTTCACATTGAGATAAAGCGCTCCTTAATAAAAACGACTCCATATGAATGAATATTTACCACTCCATCACAACCCTGATTAATAATACTATACTTATTAATTCTTATGAAATGTCACTTGTTCCTGTCCTCCAAAAAATGTGTTGCCAAATTCATTGTTTCTATTAAATCGAGGGATATTTTTTACTTCACTTCACCCTTAATCAAAATTTTACTTGATAGGTATATCAAGTCCTCGTTTGATGTGAGAGATAAAACTAAATAGTGATAGGATAAGAAAATAGTGACGGGATAGATTTTTTGTATCTTGTTTGGGATAACTCATCCCATCATTTATACCATAGTGATCGGATAAGTTATCCATGATAACTAATCCTACAAACGACCCCTTACTATCTACAGTGACTCTGTTTACTAGTTCATGGCAACAGTAATCAAGAGTGCGCTTCGATTAATATATGACAAATGAACGCGAAAACTGTGTATTAAAGTTCCGGATGTGGCGATATTTCTCTTTGTTATAGCCCTCGTAGTCATAGGATTTGAGGTCACGATAAGCATATTATTGAACATAATGGTAAAAATGTACTACTCTTATGACTCTAAAACAAGTTCAATAGGACTTGTGCATTCAGATTATCCTTTGATTGTGAGTATTGATATTATGTGTACCCTCAAATCTATTGAAAAAAATGAAGATAGATAATTGTCTGTACTTGAAAGTCTTCTTTGTTTATATTTACTAACCATCATCGTCTATGTTAAAGTCTTACAGAGCTTGAAGGATCTATAGAAAGTCTGAAATCCATTTATCAGTCGATGTCTCAACGAGGACTTCATACGACTGTCATTTTCACAGAGGCAACTGGCAACTACAAACATGATCTTTCATAGACCTCTTTTTTCACCTAGGCAGTAAGAATTGATACCTCTCATATCCAAAGCAAAAGAATTTAAATCCTTGGTTACAATTATGGGTATAACAACACCACAGAGATTTGAACCTTACCTCTTCTCAGTTCTCAGGAAAAGCAAAAACTAAAAGAAGAATATATTTCAAGCAATTAGCAGCACAGCAAGAAAAAGTGATAGACAAAAAATGCCTTACCAAAGGATACTACTCAAATGTCCATCAGTTCCACAAGAAGTTGATCAATGTTTCAACTTGGTCATCGGTTTCCCAATCATGTTTTATTTATGAGTGAATGCACTAACAACTTCAACAAGTATCATAGCCCGTGATAGGCATTGGCTAAATGTCAATAAACAATACCATCAATCAATTACTGATTACTGCCAAGTTATAAAACTTTACTATTTCTGTCTCAATCCACTACCTTTGATGGACTTAAAATGCCCCCCCC